ATAATAATAATAATAATAATAATAAATGACCCATATACGATGTTTGGGAAGGGTCCACACAGTCTACAGAGTGGAGGTGTGTCCAGAGGGGAATATGCTACCTTCACTTTAGCTTCATAAACGTCTAGGTTGTTTGCACTGGTAAGTTTATGACATCTTGTTTTAAATTAAAAGTCAGTTGGAGCTGGAGGGGGGAATATTCAGCCTCCAAGCTGTAAAAGCACCGCCTTGGAAGCGACTTGGGAGGCTCAGGAATTGGGTGGTCTGACGGTAGACCCGAGCTTCCTGCTCCCCTGGTGCCCACCTCCTTGCTCCCTGAGCCACAGTCCCTTCCCCACCCGTCCCTCTCAGGCTGCATGACTCCACCCTGCCAGCCAGAACGGAAGCCACAAAGCAGGGCCGGGCAGCCAGGCGAGAGAAGCCTGGTGAATTTGCTGGGTTTCCTAGCCCAGGGCCACTCCGCAGGTCAACGGCTGGACCACAGGTGGAAGCCTGCAGTCCCCCGCCTCGTCCCTAACCCAGGCTGGGACCCTTGGAATAGAAGGGGTGCTTCAGCTCAGCCCTAGAACGAAATTCGGACCTGGAGCTCCCCCATGAGGCCTGCTGTGCCCTGGGCCCAGGGTTATTTCAGGAGGCTGTGCTTCAGGGCCGGCTTCCTTCCTTGGCCCCCACAAGAACCACCACCTCAATAAGGATAAAGAGGATGGGAAAAGGAGCCCTCCTGCTGGTTGGCTGCCCACTCTGCCAAGCCCTGTGCAAACACACCTCACGAAATCCCTAAATAAACTATGACATGGGCACTGTGTTCCTTCCACTCTCCAGAGAGAAGAGGCTCGAGATCCTGCTGGGCTTCATCTAGTCCTGTCTAATACCGCAGAGTGTTCTGCACCCAAGCCCGAGAGACCCGGGACCCCCACACCAGGGCTCCTAAATGGGTGTCTTGAACAGTCCTGGGGTCCTCCCTGACCTGCCCAGAGCAGCTCCTCTCTCCAGTTCCTACCCTATTCTCTGAAGGAGCTGGCCTTGGGAGCAACCCTTCCTGCCCCAGAAATGGGGGAGGGGGTCCTAACACATCCACTTCCT